TATAAAGCTTATTGTTTTGATTCTCGTGCTCTGTGAAGGAGAAAAGAAAAATGGCAGAACAAGAATCAGATAAGAACATCGAGATTTGGAAGATTAAGAAACTAATCAAGGGACTTGAAACCGCTAGAGGTAATGGTACAAGTATGATCTCACTTATAATGCCTCCTAAAGATCAAGTAGCTCGTGTTACTAAGATGCTTGCTGATGAATACGGAACTGCTTCAAACATCAAGAGTCGAGTTAACCGTCAATCGGTTTTATCCGCGATTACTTCTGCTCAGCAGAGATTGAAGCTCTACAACAAAGTCCCTCCCAATGGTCTTGTTCTATATACGGGGACTATTGTTACTGATGATGGTAAAGAGAAGAAAGTGACGATTGATTTCGAGCCGTTTAAACCCATCAATGCTTCCTTGTACTTGTGTGACAATAAGTTCCATACCGAGCCTTTAAACGAGCTTCTTGAGTCTGATGACAAGTTTGGTTTCATTGTTATGGATGGAAATGGGACCTTGTTTGGTACTTTGAGTGGGAATACAAGAGAGGTTCTTCACAAATTCACTGTCGATCTTCCTAAAAAGCACGGAAGAGGAGGACAGTCTGCGCTCAGGTTTGCTCGGCTTAGGATGGAGAAGAGACATAACTATGTGAGGAAAACCGCTGAGCTTGCCACTCAGTTTTACATAAATCCTGCTACGAGTCAGCCTAATGTCTCTGGTCTTATCCTTGCTGGTTCTGCGGATTTCAAGACCGAGCTAAGTCAATCAGAACTGTTTGATCCTCGTCTTCAAGCTAAGATATTGAATGTGGTTGATGTTTCTTACGGAGGAGAGAATGGTTTCAACCAAGCGATTGAGCTGTCTGCTGAGATTCTGTCTAATGTGAAGTTCATACAAGAAAAGAAGTTGATTGGGAAGTACTTTGAGGAGATTAGTCAAGATACCGGGAAATATGTTTTCGGTGTTGATGATACTTTAAAGGCTCTAGACATGGGTGCTGTTGAAACTCTTATAGTATGGGAGAATCTGGATATTAATAGGTACGCGTTAAAGAACAACACGACCGGGGAAATAGTGGTTAAGCACTTGGGAAAGAATCAAGAGAACGATCAAAGCAATTTCCACGATGCAGAGACCAATGCTGAGTTGGAAGTTCAAGAGAAGATGCCTCTGCTTGAATGGTTTGCTAATGAGTATAAACGTTTTGGTTGTACCCTTGAATTCGTGACTAACAAATCCCAAGAAGGATCACAGTTTTGCAGAGGTTTTGGCGGAATTGGTGGATTGTTGCGGTACCAGCTTGATATGAGGACTTTCGATGAATTGTCAGACGGGGAAGTTTATGAAGATTCAGATTAAGTGGGTGTAAGATCTCAAGAAGGATTTGAAGTTTGGGAAAAAAGAAAGAAGAGAACTTCTGTTTGCTTTTACTTCTTACTTTGTCTCTGTCTGTATTATCTTCCTCTTTGATACTTTCTACATGATTTCATGTCTGTCTCTCAAGTGTTTTTTGAGAAAATATGCTTAAATGTATGAGAAATTTGAGCTACTTCTTTATTTGTAATTTTGAAGACTTGTTTTCTGTTTCTTAAGTTAATCTTTTGCTTTGACTATCATTAAGGCAACATCACTATTTGCATTAAGTGAATTACTTTTTTCAAGATCAACGGTAATATTGTGTAATTTAGTCACAATGAGAATCAACATTAATAAGCTTACCTTAAGTAAATGTTCTCAAAAATTCAGAAATTAGGAAATAGCCGTTGGATTATTGGAAAAGAAAAGGAAACGAAAAAGAATACAAATATAGTCAAGATTTTCACAATCTTTCTCTATCTTTCTCTTGAGAAAATCTGTGATGAATCCAACAAAAAGATGTGCTGCTTGCAAATATCTGAGAAGAAGATGTCCAAAAGATTGCATTTTCTCACCTTATTTCCCTCCAAACGATCCTGAGAAATTTGCATGTATCCACAGAATCTATGGAGCTGGAAATGTTTCCAAAATGCTTCAGGTACACAAAATCTAATCTCTTTTTGTGTATCTGTTTCTAAATCCATATCTAAAAAGATTACGTTATTTGCATAAACTGTTATTACAAGTATTCATGGTGGATTTTGGTGATCTTTTTGACAGCAACTTCCTGTTCAGACAAGAGCTGAAGCAGTGGAATCTTTGTGTTTTGAAGCAAAATGCAGAGTAGAAGATCCTGTTTACGGATGTGTTGGGATTGTTTCTTTACTCCAAACTCAAATTCAGAAAACCGAAAATCTTTTGGCTAAAACTCAAGCTGAGATTGCTCTTGCTCAAACCCAAAATTCTGAATTTATGTAATACTATCTCAGTTTCATTTAAAATTTCCAAATAATAAAATCTCTATGCGTTTCAGTTTCATGTTTCAAGATGTTATACAATTCTGAAACATTTTCAAGTAAAACTAAGCTACATGTCGAATCGAATTCAATATTTTCACAAGTTTAAGCAAATCTAAACTCCATTACTTTTACAAGTACATGAAACTGCACTAATTTTACAATAGCTTTTCTTGTATATAGCTACAAAGATAACCAATGAATCTGTGCAATAGAGTAAAAAAATCATACGTCAAGAGACACTAAACCTTCAAAAATCAGCCTGCATCCCACTTGGAGAACATAATGTGATGGTGGCTCTCGGAGTTTCGTACCTTTCACTCACTCTATCCGTGTTTTCGATATCAAATGAAGTGTTGTGGTTTGGATCAGAAGACATAGAATCAACCAAGTTCGAAACTTTATTCACTTCCAGGGCATGCTCCAGCAGTTGGATCATACAAGCATTATGTTCTTGGATAGGTGTAATATTGTAAACTTGGATCATGCGTATGAAGTACGTCAAACCGTCATTTACATTTCCGATGTTTGCACAGGCGGATAAGACACCAACAAAAGTGATAGCATCTGGTTCTACACCTTCTTCTTCTTCCATCAGTTCAAACAGAGACAAAGCTTCTTCTCCACATCCATGTACTCCCAAGCTAGTGATCATTGAATTCCAAGTCGCTAAACTCTTACTTTGCATCACACTAAACACTTTTCTTGCGTCCTGCAAGCTTCCACATTTGCTATACATATCGATCAAAGCGGTTCCAAGGAAACAATCAAGTGGGAAACCGTTTTTGTGAGAATAATCATGAACCCATCTACCCATAGACAAGCTTCCTAACTGAGTAGAGGCCTGCAACAAATTAACTATTGTAAACTCATTAGGCTTAACATCATCAACCTGCATTCTCCTAAAGAGCTGAAACGCCTCATCGGGTCTTCGATTCTTAACGTAAGCAGCGATCATCGCAGTCCATGAGACAACGTTTCTTGTTGGCATTTGGTTGAATACGATTTCTGCAGAATCCAATCGTGAATTGGAGACAAGACCATAAAGCATAGTAGTCCATGAAACAATAGTTCGGCCAGGCATTTTATCAAACACCTTACGTCCACAATCAGGTTTCCCACACTTGAAGTAAAGATCCATGAGAGTGTTTTGAAAGAAAACATCGGAGAAAAAGCCAGCTTTGATAGCTAAACCATGGACTTGGGTACCTAAACGAAGAGAAGAAGAAGCGAGACAAGCTTTGATAACAAAAGGGAAAGTGAATTTATCAAGCTCTGATTGATGAGAGAGCATGAGTATAAAGAGAAGAAGAGCTTCACGAGGCTTGTTATTAACAGAGAGAGATCTTATCATAAGATTCCAAGTAAAAGTAGAAGGAGATTGAAGTTGATTAAAGACGAGAGAAGCGTATTGGATCTCTCCGAATGAAGAAGATACACTGATGAGCTGACGAACAAGTAACTGATCGTTGTTGAGATTGTGTCTGATGATTTTGGAATGAATCTGTTTCAAATGAGAGAAATTTGAACAATTTCGAAGAAAGTAAGAAGCTTTGACTGATCGGAAAGACGGAGGAGATAGAAAGTTTGGTGGGGAAGACGGCGACGGAGCCGCCATGGATTAACGATAATCCCCCCCAATTCAATGTGTGGATGATGAAGATGAAGCGGAAGAGTGTTCGCAGTTAAACGACGTCGTTTAGAGAGAAAAAAAATAATTTTAAAAAAGAAAATATACAAATATCCATTAGAGGGAAGACGAAGCAGAAAGGTGAGGTTTTTTTTCTAAATCTAGGGTTTATCAAATTTGGGGATTTTGAAGCAAAAGATGGTTACGAGCAGCGATCACGTCCAAGAAGAACAAAAAAGATCAGAAATTTACACATACGAAGCACCATGGCAGATCTACGCGATGAATTGGAGTTTCCGTCGAGACCAGAAGTATCGTCTCGCAATCACCAGCCTCATCGAGCAATTCCCGAATCAAGTTGAGATTGTTCAGCTTGATGAATCAAACGGTTTGATTCGATCAGACCCTAATCTCTGCTTCGAGCATCCATACCCACCAACGAAAACCAGTTTCATACCCGACAAAGAATGCCAAAGACCTGATCTTCTCGCTACTTCAAGCGATTTCTTACGTTTATGGCGAATCTCTGATGATCAATCTCGTGTTGAGCTCAAGTCTTGTCTTAATAGTGATAAGAACAGTGAGTTTAGTGGTCCTCTTACTTCTTTTGATTGGAATGAAGCTGAGCCTAGACGTATTGGGACTTCTAGTATTGATACGACTTGTACGATTTGGGATATTGAACGTGAAGTTGTTGATACTCAGCTTATTGCTCATGATAAGGAAGTTTATGACATTGCTTGGGGTGGAGTTGGTGTTTTTGCTTCTGTTTCAGCTGATGGATCTGTTCGTGTATTCGATCNTCGTGATAAAGAGCATTCGACGATTATCTATGAGAGTTCTGAGCCTAGTACTCCATTGGTAAGACTTAGTTGGAACAAGCAAGATCCGAGGTATATGGCTACTGTTATCATGGGGAGTTCCAAGATTGTGGTGCTGGATATTCGGTTTCCGGCTCTTCCTGTTGTGGAGCTTCAACGACATCAAGCAAGTGTCAATGCTATAGCTTGGGCTCCACATAGCTCCTCGCATATCTGCACCGCCGGAGATGATTCTCAGGCGTTGATTTGGGATATCTCTTCCGTGGGACAGCATGTTGAAGGTGGTCTTGATCCGATTCTAGCTTATACGGCTGGTGCTGAGATTGAACAGCTTCAATGGTCTTCTTCCCAGCCTGATTGGGTTGCCATTGCCTTCTCCAATAAGCTGCAGATTCTCAGGGTCTGATTATGGTTTCTGAATGCTTGTCGGCTATTGCCTTGTAGAATGTAAACCTCGCACGGACTCTTTGTTGTTTTTGGTTAATGATTGTTCTAGTAATGTTGATCCTTCGATCTTGACTCTAGCCCCATTGGTCTTCGTAACTCTGATTTGCAATGACTATGTACCTTCAAAAATTGTGAATAACTTAGCTTTAGCTTTAGCTTGGAATTGGTTTCTAAACAGAGAGAAAGTAAAGTAGCATGCCGAACTTGAAGTAGGTTTTGATTATCGTGAGCATTTATGTTTCTACGCATTCCTCTAATTGATGAAGTAGCAGAGTTGTGAAGGCGTGTATGACGATAGTTCTTAGCAGAGTAATTTGTCTGCATCACTCACAATTGTTTCGAGTGTCTAGCTTTCTTCATTGGCTGTATAAGGGCACAAATCAGCTTCCATTTCTTTCCTTACTTCTCTGGCAATCTTTTCAGTTTCTCTTTCGCCTTTCGAAACAATTGAATGTGATTGATCATTATCCTGACTAGATGGTCAATAGTTTTGGCAGGTTGTGATATAGGTCCAGACAAGACAATAGATGTAATCTGGTATAATTCACAATCATATGATAATTTGTGTTCAAGTAGACTTGGTAGGTAATTGGAGACCAACCTTATCTTCATATAACAATGACCACACACACAGGTTGAAGAAGCCCAAGTGAAAAGCCCAAAATCAATAAGAGGTGAAAAATCTGTGATCATATAGAAACATGAAGATTGCAAGAGAGTGATAACCACAACCATACAAATGTGTAACAAAGTTATCCAGAATCTAATCCTCTTTGCTTCCAAGTCATCAATTATTTATCCTATATTACCACTCTCTGCTTCACCATTCTCTTTTGCCCTCTGCTTGTTACAACCTTAACTTGGATTCTGTCTGGTCACCATGGCTTCAACTGCTTTCTCTGTCCCCAAACCATCTCTTCAGGTATCTTACTCCCTCCTTCTTCTTGTTCTTCTGGTTTCTCTTACCACAAGTTTAGTAAAAATGTTTGTGTTTTTTTCCTTTTGTTTTCAGGGTTTCACTGAATTTTCAGGATTGCGAAGCTCCTCTGCTTCTCTTCCCTTTGGCAAGAAACTTTCTTCTGATGAGTTTGTTTCCGTCGTCAGTTTCCAAACTTCTGCAGTGAGTTCTCTGTTTTCCTCCAACATTGCCTTTAGGCTAAAGCTTTTGTGTTCTGCCTTATGATGCAATATTATAGCATTCAACTATGTAACATGTTTGTGTACCAAGTATAAGCATGTATGTTGATAGATCGGATAAATCCTGTGATCATACTACTTTAGTCGTTTGCATCTGTTTTTCGGGGTTTTGTAAACCAATGAGAGTGGTTCTGTGTGTGTGCCAGATGGGAAGCAGTGGTGGATACAGGAAAGGTGTGACCGAGGCTAAGCTTAAGGTGGCCATTAACGGGTTTGGTCGGATTGGAAGGAACTTCTTGAGGTGTTGGCATGGTCGCAAGGACTCTCCTCTTGATATCATTGCCATTAATGACACCGGCGGTGTCAAGCAGGCTTCGCATCTCCTTAAATACGACTCTACTCTCGGAATCTTTGACGCCGATGTGAAACCATCTGGAGACGCTGCTCTCTCTGTTGATGGAAAGATCATCCAGGTTGTGTCTAACCGCAACCCGTCTAATCTCCCCTGGAAGTAAGTCAAAATGCAGTTTTGTGTCTATAAATTGATCAGTCTTTATCCTAAATTCAGATAAGCATTTGAATGTTTTCGAAATTTGGCGATTGGTGGTTTATTAGGGAGTTAGGAATCGACATTGTCATCGAAGGAACTGGAGTGTTTGTCGATAGAGAAGGTGCTGGAAAACACATTGAAGCCGGAGCCAAGAAGGTTATCATTACTGCTCCAGGCAAAGGAGATATTCCAACTTATGTTGTTGGTGTCAATGCCGATGCTTACAATCCCGATGAACCGATCATTAGCAATGCATCTTGCACTACTAACTGTCTTGCTCCTTTTGTCAAAGTTCTAGACCAGAAATTCGGTATGCTATACTTCCGCTTCTGCTTCCTCTTTCGCTCTCTTGGATCAATGAAACGGTTTTTAATGTGTTTGTAACATTTGCAGGTATCATCAAGGGTACAATGACAACTACTCACTCTTACACTGGTGACCAGAGGTTGTTAGACGCGAGCCACCGTGATCTAAGGAGAGCAAGAGCAGCTGCATTAAACATTGTTCCCACATCTACAGGAGCAGCTAAAGCCGTGGCTCTCGTGCTCCCTAACCTCAAAGGAAAACTCAACGGAATCGCTCTCCGTGTACCAACACCAAACGTATCAGTGGTTGATCTCGTTGTGCAGGTCTCGAAGAAGACTTTCGCTGAGGAAGTTAATGCTGCTTTTAGGGAATCCGCAGAGAAAGAGCTTAAAGGTATACTCGAAGTCTGCGATGAGCCACTCGTGTCTGTTGATTTCAGATGCTCGGATGTGTCCTCGACCATTGATTCTTCGCTCACTATGGTTATGGGAGATGATATGGTTAAGGTGATTGCTTGGTATGACAATGAATGGGGTTACTCACAGAGAGTTGTTGATTTGGCTGACATTGTTGCCAACAACTGGAAGTGATTTGTAACTTTTGAAATCAAACTTATATCTCATATTTTTCCAATTTTTTTTTACATTATGATACTCAAAATATCAGAGTTATGGACTTGTAATAATGATAAACTTGATTCAAACTAGTTTACAATTTGTGCTTTTGAAACTCTTTTTAATAGGTCTCACTCACACAAAAAAATTAATATACAGAGATGTAATGTAATGCAATACATTTTGGTTTTTGCAAAGAATACACAATCGTGTAATGGTTTTTTTTTTTTTTTTAATAATGGAATCCTAAAAACAGATTTTGCTACTAAAGGTGGAGGAATATACCTGAGACTCTGTCTCATAGCTCACTCTGTTTTAACTAACTACTTAAGCCTTTGAAGAGTGATGAGATGTTTTTTCAAGCATTCTTGTTCCTTCTTCTTCCATGGTTAGTTTGCTCCATCCTGACCCTCTCATGGACAAAATCTTTGCCCGTTCGAGTCCGTTTCCTCTAAACCCTGTTATCTTTGAAGATACCATTGGCATCACGAGAATCGCAGATGCGTTTATAGAGTCTTCGCCAAAGCCCAATGCCGCTAAACAAGCAGTCTGCGACACACACACAAAAAACAAAGACAGAACAGAAAAGTAAAACTTTTAGTACTGTTGGTAAAGCTCACCAATGAAGATACTTTTGCTTGTGGGTACCTTTGTCTTGGCCATTAGATCAGCAGCTTTCATATACATTCCTTGTACAACTACTCGTGTGTCTTTGCTATGTCCATCTTCAGATGATTGTGATATCAACCTGTATTACAGCTCAAGATGGGTTATAATAGCTAAATCATGGAAAACCTCTGAATTCACGATCTAATGAGAACGCGTTTTTTTACCTGTCCTCTTCAGTTGGCCCACTCGAGGACACTATGGAATCGAGAGATGATGAATTATCTTTGGTGTCGTTGCCTCTTGTATCATCAGGTGCTAGTAAAGAAATGCCTATGAATACACACATCATTCCTAATATGAACATTGTGGTTCTAAGCGCATCAAAAACCTGTTTAGAGTAAGAAGATAATAAGCCTAAAATCACACCATTCCGGTTCAGAATGATCAAACTAATCAAGCCGAAAGATAAAGATGGACCTGAAACTCCTGAAAGTAGATGAATCCTGTACAGATGGAGAAGAATGTCCAAGCAATCTGAAACATTGGAACTATGAGAATTGCATCATATAGAGACAATCCTTCATTCAATCTTGTCATCTGCAACAGAAGCACATAAAAGAAGGTTTCACTTTAGTAACTTTATCGTCTCGATGACACAAAAGCAACACAAATTTCATTGGCTTTAAGGCTTTACCCAGAATCCAGCTGTACTAAGAAATAAAAGAAGCATAGAGTATGTGAACCAGCTGTGCAATTGATAGCTACTAGACATTGCCAATCTCAGCAAGTTTGAGCTGCAAGATGAAACTCAATTTATCACTTGAAGTTATGTGCATAACTTATCAGCTTATTCAAGTAAAGCCAGCAGATTTACAAACTTACAGTGACTTGGCGAATAAAACCGAACATGATCCTATAGCGCCGGAGACCACGGCATATGAGAAAGGAAGCAGCATTTTCCAATAGGAGCTAATCTCTTGTCCAGGTATAGATATCAAAACTTCTCCCTTCCTGAAATATATCGACTAAACTATTACCAAAGGGGGCGGATAATATAAAATTGATGCAAGACTACAAGTTCAAATGCAAGACTCACCTATAGAGGAAATGGTGAACGGCTACTATCAAAATCAAAATTCCACAGTATATCAAGAATGTCACATTGCTGTATTTCTCTGCCAACTGTTCGGGTGTGAAAACTGAGCACAGAAGAGTTATATTAGGTCACGATTTGAGACAAACCAATAGACCAAAACCTCTACGTTCAAGAATAATTACCTGGTGACTGGTGATTACCAAATGCTACAAGGAAAACGTTTCCAAGAACTATAAAGGCTGTAGCAACAAGTACCCTGTGACCAAGGGATACCAAAGGTATTAGAAGAGCGAAGACTTAGTAAATTGGTAATGTATGTTAAAGATTGCAGCGAGGTTGTTTGCATACTTGACGGTCACCATTTTGTTCAATACAACATAAGCAAACGCTATGTTGGATACAAACTGAATGGATCCAAGAGCTGCTAAAAGGGACTGCAAAGAGAGTGCGCGAAGGTAAGAAAATCAAAGATAAACCATAATGCAATCATCGAAATCTAACAAATCACGCAAGTAGGCAGTGTTGAACAGATCATCCTACCTGAGCAGCATAACCAAATGAAATGAAATTGAGGCAATTCCCAAGAAGAAAGACAAGGATCCCTGTAAGTTTCCAACAGCATTGGACTCAGAACTAGCTTCATAAAAACTTTCAAAGGGCAAAAGGCTTAAGACCAGAGCATACCAACTCTCCATGTCTGAAAATGTATAATCGGCTTCAACGGCATCTTTCCTCCGCCATTATCCTGTAGAGCTAATCTTTCTCTCTGATAGACAATACACAAAGTCAACAAAGCACTAATCTTTCTCGCAAGATCAAAATGTAACCAAACAGTAGTGCTTGAGGCAAATGCAGACCTCATTATGTCCCAATTTGAGAAGATTTGTGCCGAAATTAATAGCAACGCTTCCAAAAATGTTGATGAAAGCTCCAATGACCCACTCTCCCATGGTTAAAGAATGGATATGGCTCAGTTAAGAAACATCTAAAGCTACAATCTTGAAGGCAATCACTAGCTCAGGCTCTCATGTGAATCTGCAAGAGAAGACCCTTCTAAGCATAAAACCTAAGAATGGCTAATTGATGGTAAATTGGTAATTGCATGAGAGAGAAAAAAACACAAGCTTGCAGCTTTGATAAGGCAATAAAGAGAAGGTTTCTTCAATCGTTGAATCTATTGAAACAGAGAACAAATTGCGGCAAAAATTTGGCATTTAGAGAACCCAAAAACGAAAGCAGAGAGATGGAAACAAGGGTTTTTCGGCGATCAGGAAAAGAAAGGAGGCAAAACCTGCGATTTGAGGATAAAGGAGCTTCAGATCCAGATCGATTCTAACAGAAGACGCAGATTACAAGTCCTCTTCTCCAAACAAAACAGAAAAACAAAAACTATTTTTTTCTTTTTCTTTTAAGAAATTGAAAATGGTGAGATTTAGCTTTTAAATGGCGTCGCGTCGAGTAAAAGGAAGAATAAAAATTGGATCTTTCCCAAAATTGAAAATTCTAAAAGTTCTGATTTTTCGTAAGGAAGACCCAATCGCCGAGAAATTCCTTAACGACGGTGACCGTTTAAGGAAGAAGACGACGATGAGAAAATGCGATTCGATCATAAAAATGACCTTTTGTGGTTTGGGCCCTTTGTGTTTTTATCTGTCTTCTTCTTCCTGCTCCTCACGTTTTGTTTGGGCTTTTTACCATTTTTACTCTCTCTTTCTCTCTCCGACACTCAATGGCCAAAATCAAGTCTTCGGTAGGCGACTAGGCGGGTAAAATATTTCATTCTCGCACGCAAAATTGACTCTTTTGACCTTTCCTTCTCAGAGAGAAAACAACAATGGTTGTTTCCGATGAAGAAGACGAAGAAGGTTTTGGTTGTCGTTTCAACGACGATGTTGAAGAAGGAGAAGAAGAGGGTTTTAGTTTCTACGACGATGTTGTTGAAGAAGAAGAAGAGGGTTTTGCGTCTGATTTCTACAAGGCTGGTTCTGATTGGTCTTGTTTTTTGGAAGACAAAGAGACCGATAAGAAGAAGATGAAGCAAGCGGATTTGTTTCAGATTTGGGGTTTGCAAAAGATTTCTTCTCCTGAAACGACGAAGAAGAATACGAAACAAACTGACTTGTTTCAGATTTGGGGATTACAAAAGCCTTCTCCTTTCACTTCACCTGCTTCGGCTTCTTCGTCATCGGCGAAAAAGACGATGAGTGCTCCAAGAAAGAGACGTAGAGACTCTTTGTTTAACAATGACTCGCCTCGACAATGCCCTTTTTATAAGAAACTTCCAGGTCTCTTACTCTTCTTGGAATTCATCTATAGCCAAATCTCTATGCTTCTCTGTTTGCCAATTTTGTGACATTGATATCTGATTATCTGTAGGAACACCGTTTACTGTGGATGCATTTCGCTATGGTTGTGTTCAAGGATGTTCTGCTTATTTCCTTACTCATTTTCACGCTGATCATTACATTGGTCTTACTAAAGCTTGGTCTCATGGTCCCATTTACTGCTCTTCTCTCACTAGTCGTCTTCTCAGGCGTAGTCTCTCTATTAATCCTTCGTAAGTTCTTTGCTAATGCTATTTATATGTCTAAACACATCTTTCAACTTTTGTGTATTTAGTTTTCTGTGTGGTGATTCTATGTTGCAGGTTTATCCATCCATTGGAGCTAGATGTAGAATACACTGTTAATGGGATCAAAGTCACTTTAATTGAAGCTAATCATTGCCCCGGTGCTGCTCTTATTCACTTTCGTCTCTTAGATGGAACATGTTATCTACATACCGGAGATTTCAGAGCTTCTAAGCAGATGCAAACTCATCCTCTCCTCTTTAACCAACGACTTCATGTGCTGTATTTAGATACAACATATTGCAATCCGAGATACAAGTACGCGAGAGTTTTCAAATATATGAATTTATGATGGATTTGAGGGAGCATGCCCTTACGAGATTGATCCATTTATGTTTTTGTTCAGATTTCCCTCTAAAGAAGATGTATTAAGTTATGTTGTCAGAATCGCAAAAGAGTTCCTCAGGAAGCAACCGAAGACTCTGATTGTGGTTGGTTCTTATAGCATTGGAAAAGAATGTGTTTATCTAGCTATTGCAAAAGCACTTGGGGTATAAATTGCTGTTCTCTTTCCATTTAGTCATTTTTTGTGTGGACTTCTATGTTCTAACCTCATTGGGGTTTCCAGGTTAAGATATTTGCAAATGCTTCAAGAAGACGGATACTGCAATCTTTTGGTTGGGATGATATTTCAAAGAATCTTTGTACAGATGGGAAAGCCACATGTCTTCATGTTCTCCCAATGTCATCATTGAGAGTTGAAGTATTTCTCTAAAACCAAGATGCTTCTTATCTAACGTATAGTAATATATAGTTTCCATGTCAGCCTCTCTCTCATGATCTTCTCTGTGTTAATTTCTCTGAAGAAACTCGTTGAACATTTAAAGGTTTATAGAGAACAGTATGGAGCAGTTTTGGCATTTAGGCCCACAGGTGAATTTTGTGCCTTGCTGTTTTGTAAAGGATTGTTTGAAACGATTGGTTCGGAAAGTAAAGTGTCTTTTTACAGGTTGGACTTACTCCGAGAAGATAGGCGAACACCTTGATCTGATAAAACCAACTTCAAGGGGTAAAATCACTATTTATGGTGAGTTGATTTGTGTAATGCACATTCTCTATGAACTACAATGCTAAGTTATGCACATGGCTCTAAGTATCACCATGACTCGTTGAGACCGATTTGTCTGACTTTCTGTAATTATTTTATCTTTCTAGGGGTTCCGTACAGTGAGCATTCAAGCTTCACAGAACTTCGTGAGTTTGTTCAAGTGCGTATCAGGAACGTTGTCGTTATCTATCTGTGTCTGTCCTGTATAAGTTTTACACTTCTTTTAGCAATAACTCTTTTCGTTTTCACGCAGTTTTTAAGGCCGGATAAGATTATTCCTACAGTGAATATCTCAAATGCTGGAAGTCGCGAGAAAATGCAGTCATGTTTCAGAGAATGGCTCAGACCCTAAGATTCAACTCTAAGTTGATGGATGATTGCTTCCAGCTGGTAAGAAATCAAAAGCTTTGGCCGTTCTATCTGTAGTTCTATTCTGCAGTTTCTGAAAATCCCAATATGTTTCATTGTTTCTCATTGAAACTTTAAGGGATGCTTGATGCTTCTGTAACATCTTGGATACGGTAACTGGTGAATGCAGTAGAATTGAAGTACTTAAAAGGTTCATGATATTCTTTGATCCAGAAGTTTTATTCTTAGTTGGTTGGGAAAGAAAAGAGTTCAAAGAAACAATACTTTCTATATGCTACATTTACTTACATTGAAGAACGATTAGCATGGAGCTAAATTGCGCAGTCCACACGAGAAACAAAAGAGTAGACAATGCAAAGAGGGAATAAGATAACCAGATCAGATCAAAGAAGAGGGAGATTCAGTAACTGGAGATGGAGGATTGCCATTAACCTCAGTGCAAAAACTGGGTTTGTCGCTGAGTAGAGGACTCCGAAGCTACTTCCTATTGTAGACATATTCAAAGCAATTAGCTGCATCACTGAGAATTCCAAGCCAATGCTTTTTCTTCTGTGAAATGATTCCCTTATCTCAGTTGCATTGGCCTGTGAGTGATTACTGTCTTAAATTCTTTTGTCCTTCAGATAGCATCTAACCAATGGATCTTATGAGTTAATAGACCGTCAATTTGTCTTTTTCATTTGATAAACACATTCAGGTCACAGGGTAATCTTGGAACAAGTTGGGTCTTAAATCATTTGCTTCTCATGTTTCAACTTTGTTTACAGAAGAAGCTTTTCAATAATCCAAAAGGTCTTACATAATAACAATTGAGAAGTTAGATTTGACTAGAGAAATGAAACTAATTAACTACAAAGCAGTACCGAGGATCGATTTGATGCTCTCCTCGATTTGAAATGCTGGAAACGGCAAGAGAGTCTTCCTTTGTCCTTCCATCTTCTGCCATTACTCTCAGAAACTCTTCAAGAGCGCTCTGCATCCACTCATACCGACACAGTTCCAAAGCTTCTTTAACATTCAGCTGTGGATTTATACAGCACCCCTATCAGTCATCTATATAACATATCTACTTCCTTTGTTTATAACGTATATATGACACAAACAAAAGCAACATTTGCGCTTTACCCATCTCCTCTGCCGGTTTTCTTGCTCTGGCCATGTCGCAAGTTCTTCCTTCACTTCTAACGCAAACATATAACCTTTGCATCCACCACCTAAGTAGCATTCAGCTTCCACACTGCTACTCTTGCTTTTAAATTCCCAAACTCCTAATGGATCTTCCTATACGAAAAAACAAAACAAAATCCATTCTAAGCAAATCTATACAAGAACTTTCTCGAGTTGTCGTTGAAACAGAGAACATACTCTTAGTATTCCTTTAACTCCTGCTTCTTCCATGGCTTCTCGAGAAGCAGCTTCGAGAACAGTCTCATCATCTTCCCATCCTCCCTGGACAAGTGATTCTGATTCATACATGGAAAATTCTTGCATATCAAGTGATTCAGAAGCATCAAAAATCAAGAATTAAAACCTTTGGGAAGACAAGATCATGTCGATTAGGAGATGAAACCATAAGAACTTGAAGCTTGTTTTCAAAGTCAACACTTGAGTCCTCTTCATCTTTCACTACCCTATACGGAATGCATCTGTCATATTCAACACAGAAATTGAAACCAAACCAATAAATTAAAATCCCACCACATGATATCAAGCATTAAGGTCAACCACAAGAATCTAAAAAAACAAAAAAAAAATGTTAAAAAAAACAGAGTAAAAGAAAGGATTTTGTGTACCCAGAAACGAGACGGAAGTTGTTTTCGTAACGTTGACGGTCTCGTCCTGTTCGTGCTGAAAGATTCGACATTTGATAAACTGCGAAGATGAAATCAAAACCCCAAATTATAAATAACACAAAATTTCTTCTGTAAAACGAAGAAATTGAGAGAAAAATCCTAATTACGAAGAAAATGCAGCTCCTGATCTTTGGAAAAACAATTTTTCGTTGTCTGTTGAAGTCAGCAAGAAACATCACCGTAGCTTCCATGGCGAATCATCTTGTTCGAAAATTTTCATTTTTTTTTTTGTTACCCAGAACAAATGGAGAGAGAGAAAGCTAAAACACAACCAAAAGAGAAGAAACAGAAAGAATGGAGAAAAAAAGTAACGGTTTTGGTTTCTTTGCCATGTAACGAAGGAAAAGCTGAGATTTTTCCGGCGACAAATTTAAGAGCTGACGGAACGGCAAATAATATACTTTTTTAATAACCAACCACCCGTCTCTAATTCACGTTTCCCATAGTATTTTTTAAATTTCAAATATTAAGTTTCACCAACATTATTCGGACAAAATTGGGTTAAATCATGATTTTAATGGGGTTATTTACACCTAGGCATACTTTCTTAGGTTTTTATTTCAATACAGACACTTTTTCATTAAGAGCACTTTGTGCTGTTTTTGTGTACCAATATGATGAAAATACCCTTAATTTTTATATTATCTCTATTTTAAAAATAATAATTAAATAACTAATATTTTCATTCACGTTTCTCTTTCATATCAACGAATTCATCTTCTTCTTCAACTTTTTCTCTGATTTTCTCTTTCTCATCAATAATATTTTCTCTGATTTACTAGATCTACTGACAGAGTGGTGATTTCGATCTTCTTCACAAGAGAGTTTTTCTCTGATAGGAGATGGTGAGATCTCACCGCTGGCTCTTACGATCTCGCCGTCGCTCTCGCCATATGGAAGAAGAACAATTATGGATCTTGCGTTCAAAGAGGTTCATAAAAAACCCATAAATGCATATTCAATTCAATATATTTTGGCCCTGTTCGGGTTTCAATGGCAGCAATTGTCTTGGTGATAGGACGAAACGACGGTGGCAGCAGCAAAGTTGAAAGCAAAACGACAGTGACAATTTGATGTAGGTGTCATACTAAGTTATCCACGAGATATTGTCCACAAAAATAGTGTTCATGGCATCCAAAGAGATATTGTCCACAAAATAGTGCTCATGGCATCTAAAGAGATTGTCGTGGATGGACTGTGTGTGTGATTGTGTTATTTGAGAACCCAAAGAGATAATGTCGTAGATGGTCATAATTTGAGAAAAGCTTAGACATGTTTAATGGTAAATGAACAAAAAGAAACTAAGTCTTCAAATCTAAGACATTAAAAGAATAACTATAAACAGAAAGGTTTAAAAATTGTGTCATTGACCAAGTGGATGGATTATCGTGGATATGTTCTTGAATTCAGCATTAATAGTGCATGTACAACTTCGATAATTTACAAGTATTTACCATTGTAATAAACAACTAAAACTCACAGGTTTGTGAAGAGTAATAACCAATGTAGAAGTAATTTTGGTTTTGATCAGTAGTTAATGATCTATATAGACAATATAAAATGACGAATGATGTATACGTGAAGTGGGACGGATGATATGTGTGAGCATGATGTATGATAGATATGATTCAAAAGATTATATTTATTCGGATATGGTTGAATTTTTTTAACATATGAGTATCATACTGTAATTAGCAAAATACATAATTATATACAAAAAAAAATTAATACAACTATGAAGAAATCATAAAAACCATGACCATCAATTGGTGGATTGATTATCATGGATAGAAATATAGAATGTCGATTTGTGACCACAAAACCATGATCATTTGACTTGTCCATATGACCAAAATCATGGATATATGTCTATGCTAGTTTATCCACCACAACCTATCCACATATACGTAATATCACAAACAAGTAACCATGGATATGTTACCATAGACACGGACGATACCAAAGACAAAAGCTTGAGATCTATTAAATCTTGAGAATCGTGCACTCAGACTCAAATTTGTCAACTTGCTTGGTGTTAACCAGTCTCACAAAGAAACATCCCTACCAAATCTATGTGGTTTTAAGCTTTGTCTGCAATCTCTCTCTTATCTTCTTCATCTTCTTATGAACCAATAATATTTCACACTTGCTTGGTGTTAAACGGTCTCACGAGAATTGGTTGTGCTTAGTATGCTGAATTTTGGAATCACGTACAAATTCCTATACGAATCAAACAAAATTAATCAATTCCAAACCTACATTAATCGAACCTAGTTTTGTATGCAGAAACCAATACTCTTTCACAATAAAATAACAAAAAAAACTCTAGCAACCAAACGACCGATTCATTCGATTGAATCAAAGTCGATTACTGAAACCAAAAACTTCAGATTCAATAGATCTAAAATTTATGAATTCAAACAAACCTAAGAAGAAAATAATCAAATCAGAAGCTCATTGTTGATTCCGATCTTGAAACGAAAGCAGAACAACAGCGAGAGAGAGGAGATCAGAGAAGATAAATCAACAAAAGCGACGAGACTCGCTCATCGACGAATCAAACACGAGAGAGAGAGAGAGGTTACAGTTACAGAAGAAAAAGATTGATGATTTTGTTGCATTACAATTCTTCAGATCTCAAGAGAGAGAGAAACGTGGAGAAAGAAATCCAAAACTTGTGTTGATTTTTTTCATCAATTAAATTCGCAGGAGAAGATAAAAAATAATAATAATGATATTATGGTTAAAGAAAGGAGGGGTAGATGGGCAAACAACCAATAGAAAAGTGTGTCGATATTTTAAAGTGTCTCAAAGTGTAAACTGCTCACTATAAAGTCTTTGAGTGTAATTGTTCCATTTTAATGAAACTTGTTGTCTAAAAATGAGTTGGTCCGTATATTAAATGATAAGTTTTCTACAAGTTGGAAACATATACGATGATTTTATGACGCTTAAAATCAGTACAAAATTTAGAGAATTGTTTTCTACTCGTTTTGTATATTCGGTTACTGTGGTTTCAATACAAATCTCTTATACTTGAGCTGATTGTTTTGGTTAACAACAATAACCAAGAACCACAATAACCGAATATACAAACCAGATTCCGGTTTGGTACAATCTAACTCAATTCCAAGCCGAGTAACATGATTACTCGATTTGACCGGAATAAATACCTACTTTTTCAAGCCGAATACGGGACAAGTAGCGAGTACACACCGAGTAATGAGTATTTATGCCCAGACCTAAATCTGACCCAACACATGATAAAAGTGAAACAGAACAAACACCAAACATAACCAAGCTGACCCGGTTTGATTCTTTGGTATCTTGGTTTTCTTTGTAGCTCACCATAGACTAGTAAAACGACAAACAAATCAGCAAATGTTAAACGAGCCCAAGAAATTGGCTGTGTATAATAAGACGCACATTTCACCTATTGGGCCTAAATTGGGCCTTTAAAAATGTATAGGTGGTTGGTGTAGACTATGATTTGATTTATTTTTCAGTCACTTTTCAATCATTTCCAAATTGTATGATTTATTCATGATGACCACGACCGCCGCTTCAATCATTGGTCTCGTTTCAAAAATTTCCAATTTTTTG